CCCTGTGTGGACACTGGCTCAGCCACTTCCCTTGGGACATTGATAGTAAAGTAGTTCAGGTTGTTCTGTATTCTAATCTGGACTCAGATGAAGGTCTGGGTTATGATTTTGTTGCCCGTGGATGGCCCTTTGTGACGTTTATCCAATATGTTTTAGCTCTTTGGGATTCAAATTTCATTTTCTTCTAATTAATATTTTAATGGAGCTTAATAATCAAGTGAGTGTTATAGCTGAAACTTTTGTCCAAATCTTTAGTACGACCTGCTGTTCCCATGAGTCTGTTTGCATTGTAAGACTCGGGGGAGGGAACATGAGAATGGACACTAGTTTGGCTCTGGCTGAATTAACACTTTGAGCTGTAACAGAAGGCACATTAAGGGAGAGGACTGTTCATTGTCAGCAGGCAAGGAATTCGAAGCCCAGGCCTTGCAGGGCTGACATGTGAGTCAATCCAGTTCTCTTTCTCCCGGCTCTCACCTCTTCTACCTTATGCCAGGTACTCTCCCTTCTTCCGATATTTCTCGAATGTTTCTGCCTGTTTGCTCTGTCCTCTCAGGTGGTCATATCCAGTAGTCAAAAAGCTTCTGTTGAATTTCAAAAACCACGTTGCTCCCCTGACCCCAACCTTCCAGGGACTTTATATTCCAGACTCCAATCTTCCTCAGTTTCCAAACCCCTAAGGTCAGGCCCCAGGATCTCTCTCACCTTATCTCCTGTACTTTCCAGTTGCTCAAGCTTGTGCCCTCTGGCCTTACTTCTGCTTCCGGGGTCTATGTGTTTGTTTCCCCACCAGACTTGTGTGTGCTGTTCCTTTTTCTTGGGGCACTTCCTCCTTCCTGTCTCCTGATTCCTGAAGAGCTCCATGCCCTGATGTTCCAAGTCTCTCAAATGTCAGGTCTCAGTGAGACTCTTTAATCAATGTATGTAAAACATCGCACACACTCACTCACTTACATCAATGGTTTTACTGTAACTCTAAAGCCTGCCTGACACATATTGACTAGTGGCCACTCTGCGCACTATTGGAATGGAGTGCCTCACACACAGGGATGTGGGTTGTATCTTGTAGAATCAGCATGATGTCTGATACATAATGAGTATAGGTTATGCGAATACTTCTGCAAGTGAGCGATACAAAGTCCTCCGTCAGCTTCTCAGCAATTCCAGGGACCTTCGCCTCCTTGAAGCAAAAAGGCTGCTGCAGCTCCCCCCATCACATGCTCACGCACCACTTTCAGAAATGGAAATCAGTGGGCACAAGCCTTGCCCCACAAAGCATTTCTCTAATAATAGAAGACAAATATCTTTCCTAGAACGAATTCCCCTGCAGGCTTCCCTTTACATTGTATTGACTAGAACTGGGTCAAGGGATGTCCCTGTCTATAAGGGAGCTGGGAATGTATTTGATTTCCTAGTCTGTAGAGAGGCAGACATGCAGATGAGAACAGTAAGATTAATAAAATCAGAATGTCGATAAAATGCCAGGACTAGTACATCCCTGTAGCTAGAGTTTTCCTGCCTGGCCCACAGTCAGGATAAATCTCTCTCACCTGCCAGTCCCACAGCCGCTCAGACCCGACCAAGTAAACACAGAGACTTATATTGGTTACAAACTGTATGGCCGTGGCAGGCTTCTTGCTAACTGTTCTTATAGCTTAAATTAATCCATTTCTATAAACCTATACCTTGTCACATGGCTCGTGGCTTACCGGCATCTTCACATGCTGTTTGTCATCATGGTGGCTGGCAGTGTCTCTCTGCTTCAGCCTTCCACTTCCCAGCTTTATTCTCCTCCTTGTCCCGCCTACACTTCCTGCCTAGCCAATGGCCAATCAGTGATTTATTTATTGACCAATCAGAGCAACACATTTGCCATACAGATCATCCCACAGCACATCCCTCTGCAGCTCTCCCGTGGCTGAGTAGAGGTTTTGTAATCCGGGAGATCGCCGTACTTACAGGCATTTTCATTTGACAGTGCTCTGGTTTTTTCTCCCCTTTGCATCTTGAAAACACGGTCATTCATATAACTTATCTTTCCAATTTAGTAACTTTTATGAAATGAAAGCCTTCTCGAGTCATTATGTGGGAAAATTGCTTATGTATTTCCATGATTAGGGGAGGTTGATAGAAGGTAAAGCAAGGGGAGAACAGAGTGGTCAGATGATGAGAAACAGCCAGAGTCATGCTTCCCTCAGACCAGCCAAAAGAAGAAAAGATAAGAGAGAAGGTCCGCCAGGCCACGCCGGCCTGCTGGCGGCAGGCACTGGGGGGTGAGGGCAGAAGAGAGAGGCCAACATTGCCTACTTTAGTTCAGATCCTTTTTCAGGTTTGTTTGTTGGTTTGTTTTTGTTTTTTGGGTTTTTTGGGGGGGGTTGTTTGTTTCTTGTTTTGTTTTGTTTTGTTTTGTTTTGTTTTGGTTTGGTTTGGTTTGGTTTGGTTTGGTTTGGTTTGGTTTTGGTTTTTTCAAGACAGGATTTCTCTGTGTAGTTTTGGTGCCTGTCCTGGATCTCACTCTGTAGACCAGGCTGGCTTCAAACTCACAGAGATCCGCCTGGCTCTGTCTCCCAAGTGCTGGGATTAAAGGCGTGTGCCACCACTGCCCAGCCTTTTTCAGGTTTTATGAGAGAACAAAGACCAATTTTTGTTTTGATGTGTGTGTGTGTGTGTGTGTGTGTGTGTGTGTGTGTGCATGTGTGTGTGTGTGTGAGAGAGAGAGAGAAAGAGAGAGAGAGAGAGAGAGAGAGAGAGAGAGAGAGAGAGAGAGAGAAAGAGAGAGAGAGAGAGAGAGAGGAGAGAGAGATGCTTGTGTATATGTGGGGGGTGTGTGCATGTGTGTATCTGTGTCTGCATGTTTGCAGGCATGTGGGAGCACATGTGATATGTGTGGGTGCATGTAGAGTCCTGAAGCTGACTTTCTCAATCACCACAGTCCTCTACCTTATATACAGAGGCAGGGTCTCTCACTGAACCCAGAGCTCACCAGTTCACTCAACTAGTCTAGCTGGCAGCTGCCTGAGGAATCCCTTGTCTCTGCTTCCTGACTGCTGAGATTCTAGGCAGCCACTGCCCTGCTCAGTTTTTAGATGGCTTCTAAGGACCCAAACTCTGGTCCTCACACTTGGAAAACAGGCAAGCACTTTAGCTAAGCCTTCTCCCAAACCTGGGAGATCGAGCTATTATATAACATTTCAAACCAAACACTAAGATAACTACATAGTACTGTTTGGTTTTGTTTTGTTTTGTTTTTTTTTTTTTTTTCATTTTAAAAGCTTCTTCAAAGCTCCTTTCTTGGCAGGTTGACACTGTAGCCAGTGGCAGTGGTCTTCAAGTTCTAAAGCGATCTAAAAATCACACTAGCATTTCCATGCCCCAAGTAGAAGCTCTTCTTCTTGGTTCCCATGAGCTATCCATGCTGAAAAGAATGAAGATGCATTCTGCCGGCCTGACAAGTCAGAGAAGAGGCAAGAGAGCAATCTACCCCGGACAAAAGGGCAGGAAGAGGAAGCCAGGAGATCTTCCTTTCTTCTCCCCTCAGGGTTGTGTCCCACAGTGTCCCACAAGGCCAGAGTCCTGGAGTCAGTAAGTGAGATAGAGCCGGGCTCAAGATGCCGCCAGATCTTGTTGGGATAACCTTTTTGCACACTGTGTAAAGACACGTCTCTGTCTTACCTCACCTGGCTAAGGCACCTTCTGATTGGTTTAATAAAGAGCTGAGTGGCCAATAGCTAGGCAGGAGAGGATAGGCGGGACTTCCGGAGAAACAGGAACTCTGGGAAAGAATCAGAGGCATGGAGATTCTCTAGTCAGAGGTGGAGGAAGTTGGACGTATGGTATTGAGGATAGGTAACAAGCCATGGCCGAACTTGGACTAATATAAAAGGTTAATTTAAGTTCTAAAAGTTCTAAAAGCTCATTGGGAATAAGCCTAAGCTAAGGCCAAGCTTTCAGAATTAATAAAAAGTCTCCATGTCATTATTTGGGAGCTGGCAGTCCAAAGAAAGACCTGCTAGAAGGTCCCACAGTGTTCCACAATGCCAGAGTCCTGGAATCAGAGGGCAAGACAGTGTGGGGCTCTAAATGCCGCTGCCAGGTAGCACACACCACTCGTATTTTCTCCTGGCGCTTTTCATGTGTTGGAGATGTGGGACAAACAACGGAAATGAAAGACATTTGCACGTCCATGCACGATAGCTTTTATAAAATAGCACAATGGGCAGCAGGTGGTTGGAGCTAATTAAAATCATCGGGGGCTGTAAAAAAAAATCCTTCGGTCAATGTGGCCTAGGGGATGAGCATGCCAGCCTGCTGCCGGGTTCACACGTCCATCTCAATATCAGATCAGCAGGCTTGCCGATCTATTAGAAGTGGCTTTCGATTATTAAAGATAAAATTAAGGAGAGATTGATCATGAGAAGCGAACACTTGACTGAGGAGATAATTGGATTCTCAACTTCCTTCCTGTCCTTGTCACGGATGGACTCTTGACTGTGCTGTGTCAGGAGAGGCAGGAAGGTACATTCTGTCTCTGCTGTGCCGAGTGGGTGACGGGTAACCATGGCAGGGGCTCAAGCTCCCTGATCTCTTGTGTTTTTATCTTGATGAAGATGGACTGCTTTAGGCGATGGTGGGCACTGTCACAGTTTAACAAGTAGTAAATTCTTAGAACATTGCCTGGCGAGTTAGATGTGGTATGTATGAGCAGTTACCACCGCTATCACCGGAGTACATACACGGCTAGTAAACAGAAACCTGGAAGAACAAAAATGGGTCTTTGATAAAGCTAGTTTAAGAAAGGAGATGGAGCATATTTTATTTCATATAAATAGAATCCTAAATCCTGTTAGTAAGAAATTATATCATGATGTTTGCTTCAAAAATTATTAAAGGCATTGGCCTGTGTAAATGTCGATATAAAATTCCTCTTTCTCTCTGTGTTTCTCTCTGTCTCTGCCTCTGTCTCTGTTTCTCTCTCTCTCTCTCTCAATTGAACTGGCTAGAAAACTTAGCCAAGAACAAATCATTCCATCCAGGAAACAGAATCAATGAAGCCACAGGCTTTGCTCAAGTGACCTCTTTCTCTACCCAAACTGATTGACGGATGCCACTTAGGACCACGGAGCCAGCTAACCAGGCATTTTCCAAGGCTGCCAGAGCAGGGTCCCTCGTTCATCTTTAAGCAAGTCTTTGCTCTTCCCAGAGACGACTGGTGCTTGTTTTCTGAGTGTTAAACCTTGAATACCGACTCCCTTCAGCCTCTTGTTAGAGCAACTGTCAGGGATGCTGGGGCTACTGATTCTTGGCATGGGCTTCAGCCAGATCATAATGGCAGCTCAGGGGCTATAGCCTGAGACTTTACATAAAAGTACTGTGTAGGGGGGATATCTAGGGCTGGTGGCTTCTGGTGGGTGGTGCGGCATGTGCATGTTTAGAGCTGACAGCATGGCAGCTCCCTGGCAGGCTACTGAAGTCTGTCACTTCTCTGTCGGGTGCACAGAGAGCACGCGAGACACCGTCGTCAGAGCCCCACATGAGTTCATTGTTCACGGCCTTCTAGTGCACTATGGTGGTCTTAGCATATAAGGTTGACCACTGTAGTGGGTAGCCATTCCAGCTTTGACCTGGAAGTTCCAACCCGCATTGAGGCTTCGGTAACTGTCACGCCTACAAGGCAGAGCCAAGAGAGGACCCTAAAGACTCAAGATCTGGATGCGCCAGCTCTCTTGGTTCCTGGACCCTGGACGCTGGAGGTAGACCGAGCAGAGTTCTCCAGAGAACACCGCTGGACTGCGCTACACCTTTCCCAGACTCTATAAACTATCCCTTCACTTGTAAGTTAACCCACAAAATAGACCTCCCTTTTAACTACGTGGAGTGGCCATAATAATTTTACCAATAGACCACGTGTATTGCATATATTCGTTATTCTCCATATTGCTGTGACCAAACACTCGACAAGAAGCCACTGAAGGAAGGGTTGACGGTGGCTCACAGGTGGAGGAGGGTTCAGTCCACCACGGTGATAAAGGCATGGCCGAGTTACAGAGAGTCTGTTGCCCGGCCTGTTACCTCATCAGCCGTTTGTGAAGCAGAGGGCTGGAACCATGGTTAAGATATAACCTTCTAGCCACACCCCTGCCATCCCATATTCTCCTGCCAAGCCCCACGTCCAAGAGACTCCACAACCTCCCAGATGGTGCCCCAAAGTAGTAATCAAGTATTCAAGCTTAAGTCTGTCAGGACGTTGTCCATTCGAACCCATCCCATCATGTATGATACACCCGGGGTCTGAAGGCAAAGAGTACCAACACCTCCATCCTGGAAAGAATGGATCTGATCATGTCACCGCCTTCACTGAGCATTTCAACCACCAGCAGACAGAGGGTAAGTCCGTGAGCCTTGGCATCACATGGCGCCGCCTTTCAGCCCTCATCCCCATGCCTTCCTCCCTCTCTGGCACAGCCACCTCTATGCCATATGTTCCAGCTGCTCTGAGCAACTTACAATTCCCTGGCCCTGACAGATGGCAGCTCGCTTCCATGTCCATCATGTCCGCCCTCCCCCGGCCCCCACCTGTTTCAAAAGTGAGAGCTCCTTGTATGTATGTCAAGGGCAGCTTTACACCGCTTCAACATGCAAGTGGTGTTTTCCTTTGTCATGACTTTTTTCTTTAATTGGGGTATGTGTGTGTGTGTGTGTGTGTGTGTGTGTGTGTGTGTGTGTGTGTGTGTGTGTGTGTGTCTGACACAGACAGACAGACAGAGCCTGGGAGGGGTGTGATTTGTCTGTGCATGAGCGTAGGTGCTCAGGAGCCACAGCACTTCTGTGATGATGGATGTCATCTTCGGGTGTCACACCCTGCCTTCCACTTGGTTTGAGACAGGGGTCTTTTGCAGCTCGCCGCTGCAGAAGACAGGTTAGCTGCCCTCCACCCCTCCACAAGCTCCCTAGATTCTCCTGTCTCCTCCCGTCTTGCTGAGGGGGCACCGGGATTACACCATTTATGTGGGTTCTGAACTGGGGGCCTCACGCTTGCACAGCAATTGCTTAATCCACTGAGCATCACCCAGCGTGGTTCATAACTTTCTAATACACCTCCTGTCATCTGTGTGTATCATCTGCTTTTCCTTCTCCTGTTCTTTGGGAACCCTCAGCGTCAAGCCTCTTCCTGACTCTTACCTCAGAGCTGCTGCTGTAGGGCAACTCAGTACATAGTGAATGAATGGAGAAAACGAACGCGCTGTCCTTGCTTATCTCAGGTGTCTCCCTTTACTCTTGTCCCCACCAGGGAATCATTTGGCTCATCACAAGCGCCAGTTCTCCCTGGTCCGATGCGCGGTCCCCGTGAGCCCTCAGACGTGATGGACTGTAAGGTGAAGTGACTGACTGTGTCCTCCAGGGCACGTGAAGGATGATCTCTGGGAGCTCCGAGCTCCAAATTATACGCTGATAAAAGCAGCTGCCCTGCCTCACCTGCTGTCAGCGGGCCTGCTCCCAGACTGTTGTGAAAATGCAGCTTTGTGACATGCCAGGGGCTGCTCAGCAGCTTCCCCGCTGATTGGTTTTCTGGCAGAGCTGAGAAGGCAGAGGCTGGTCCTCAGAGGCTGAATTCCAGGCTGGGCTGGAAAGCTGGACATCTATGCAGCTCAAGTCAAGAGTGTTTCCCTCCTGTTTTGCTGACCTTTATGGATTCAGAGGCTGTGAAGGACTGAAAAACTTTACATAAAGTAGCAAGTTTACCAGGACAGATAGAGGGCTATGATACAGCTTTATTCACACCTTCCTGGGAGGGCTGAGGTTTTCTGTAAGTGTCTTCTTCAGGGAGAGAGAGTGAAGAATACAGCCCGAGACATCTTTCAATACCAAGATGTACTGGCAATTTTGTGGGTTGACTTGACACAAGCTGGAGACATCAGAGGAAGGAGCCTTCGTTGAGGAAATGCCTCTATGAGATTCAGCTATGAAGCATTTTCTGAATTAATGATCAGTGGGGGAGGGCCCAGATCATGGTGGGTGGTGCCATCCCTGGGCTGGTGGTCCTGGGGGTTTATAAGAAAGCAGGTTGAGCCGGGCGGTGGTGGCGCACGTCTTTAATCCCAGCACTCGGGAGGCAGAGGCAGGCGGATCTCTGTGAGTTCGAGGCCAGCCTGGTCTCCAAAGCAAGTACCAGGAAAGGCGCAAAGCTACACAGAGAAACCCTGTCTTGAAAAAAACCAAAAAAAAAAAAAAAAAGAAAGCAGGTTGAGCAAGCCAAGTGAAACAAGCCAGTAAGCAGCACCCCTCCGTGGTCTCTCCATGTGCTCCTGTCTTCAGGATCCTGCCCTGCTTGAGTTCCTGTCCTGACTTTCTTCAGTGATGAACAGCAATGCTGAAGTGTACGACAAATAAACCCTTTCCTCCCCAACTTGCTTTTTGGTTAAGATATTTCATCATAGCACTAGAAATCCTAACTAAGATACCAGATGAAAGGCCAACCTGGGCCCTAGAAACCTGGACCATTTCTGTGTAGTCCACTCTCAAAGGGCACTGAACAGCAGTCATCATTGGTACCACTTAATGTGTGCCCATGCGATGGACTCAGTTCAGCCGCATGGAACCTGCCAGCACTGACTAAAAGCCAAATAAAAGTTCCCTCCTAGGTGTCTCGTGCACCATTCAGCTGCCTGGCATTGGCTTTCCTCATTACAACCCTGAGCACTCGGGACCAATACTCTGCACGTGATTATGAGTCTATCTGGCTAAAGGCATTAAAAGCCTTATGGTATAAATGACCAGAAAAACTGCTATAGGAGAATAAGCATAATATCAGCTAATTCTTACAAAGCAGCCACTGTGTAGGAGGCACGATCCTTGAGGATTGTCCTGCAGGCTCTTGACCAGTGACACCATGGATGGACCAGAGTCCAGTTAAAAGGTGGGTCTGGTAGACTGATTTCCAAAAGCATATTTCAACTACATGTCATCTACAAGGTGGTGTACTTTTGATGCAAAGACACAAAAAGATTGACTCTTAAAAAAAAAAAAGACCTGAAACTCAAATAGCAAGTCCATGAAAACTGGAGGAGAGAGAGACACCAAGGCCAGACCACAGGGACTGTAAAACAAAGATTCAACAACTGTAAATCTATGCACACCAGATAACAGATACAAAAATATGCCAAGAAAGGCAAAGACAACAAGGAAATCTAACAAAGCAAGTTTGAGATTTCAAGGACCCACTTTGAATAATTGGTAAAATTAGGCAGGAAAAAAAAACCACAAGAAACTAAATTAACAGACATCCAACAGCAAATCACACATCCTCCTCAAGAACAAGTGTGTGCTACTCTTCAAGACCAATGCTATGCTAAGTCCAAGAAAGAATGCCCTAGTAAATTTAATGGTATTTAAATAATGAGAAAGTGTGTTCTCTCACCATAGAGAAATGAAACATGAAGGCTGAGTCATGGAAAATTTTGGGAATATCCCAAGTATATGAAAATTAAAACATACTTAAATAAAGGATGACTTAAATAAATTGAAAGAGAAAGAAGGCAACATTTTAAGGTGATGGAAATGAAGATCTGTCAGAGTTTAAAGAATGCAGCTGAAAGTTAAGGGGAAACATAACATAAATGACTATATTAAGGAGGAAGAAAGCTCTCAAATCATTAACCCAAAATCTCATCTGGAGACACTGAAAAACTAAGACCAAACTAAACTTAGAACTGTAGAATATTGTTTTAAGGTGTGTTACATTTGTTTATGCTATGGAACATTTGCTTAATGATGCAAAGATGTGTTGCATTCTTTTATGTTGCATTTATTTAACTCTGTGAAGCTGTGTTACAGTGCCTGTCTAAAACACCTGATTGGTCTAATAAAGAGCTGAATGGCCAATTGCAAGGCAGGAGAAAGGATAGGCAGGGCTGGCAGGCAGAGAGAATAAACAGGAGGAGAAATATGGGAGCAGAAGAAGGAGCAAGAGAACAAGGAGAGGAAGAGGCTAGGGGCCAGCTACCTAGCTACCCAGCCACCCAGCCAGCCACAGAGTAAGAGTGAAAGTAAGATATACAGAAGAAAAGGAAAAAGCCCAGAGACAAAAATGTAGATGGGCTAATTTGAGTTAAGAAAAGCTGGCAAGAAACAAGCCAAGCTAAGGCTGGGCATTTATAATTAAGAATAAGTCTCTGTGTGTGATTTATTTTGGAGCTGGGTGTTGGGCCCCCCAAAAGAGCAAAGAAACCAACAGCAGACACTGAAAAATTAAGACCAAATTAAACTTAGAACAAACAGAAAGAAGGATTAGAGCAGAAATCAATGACATATCTCATTAATATGACATATCAATATGCAAATCAAAGCCATAACGAGATGACACGTAACATTCTACTATGGTTAGAATAAAAAAAATCAAGCTGTTGCAGGATATTTGATCACACTGTATGGAAAGATGCTCTCTGATTAGTTTAATAAATAGCTAGGCAGGAGAGGTTAGGCAAGACTTCCAGGCAGAGAGAGGAACTTGGGATGAATCTGGCAAGGCAGAAAGTGCCAGCAAGATGGGTAGAACAAGTCCGGTGTATAGAATGAGAGAGAGGTAAAAGTCATGTGGCAAACTGTAGATTAACAGAAACAGGTTAATTTGAGTTATAAGAGCTAGTTGGGAACAAGCCTAAACTAAAGGCCAAGCTTTCATAATTAATAATAAGTTTCCATGTCATTATTTGTGGGCAGGCAGTCTAAAGAAAAAGTGTACTACCAATCAAGTTTGGCCAAGTGTGCAGAGAATCCAGAACACAGGCATCCTGCTTATAAGAAAGTAAATGGTACTTCCACTTTGGAGAACAATTGGACAGATCTTCACATGATGAAACCTGGAGTTTCCACATAGCCCAGCAATTCTATTCATAGGTATATTCTCAAGAAAAACAAAACCATACAGCCATACAAAAATGTGTATGTCAATGTTCAGGATAGTAACATTCACATACATTATTCATCAGAGCCCAAAGGTGGAACTACCCAAATGTTCATCAGTCAAGAAACTAAACAAGAATGTTATATCTGTAGAAGGGGATATGATTCATCCCCAAAACAGGAATTGAGTGCGTAAAACAGCGCTATGGAGATGCTATGCATACGGAAAGAAGCTGGTTACAGAATACCACAGATTATAAAATTCTGTTCATATGAAAGCTTAGAATAAACATATTGTAGGCAGAAAGTAGATTGATTATTGCATCTGGCCAGGGAGATGGGGGATTTGGGAGTGATGGATAAAGACTATAGAGTTTCTGAGGAGTTGCATGTTTTAATTGTGCTATGATGACATACAGGTAACAAATCACAGAGTTGTATGTTTTAAATGAGGCCTTGTATACTCAAAATTACATTTTAATAAGGCTTTTTAAACGTTATTTGCATTAAGAGGAAGGGGACCAGCAGGTGGGGTGGGGAGAAGAGGAGATAATGGAGGTGTGAGCATGATAAAAGTACATTATAGATGTGTGTGAAGTATCATAAGGAAGTCTATTACTTTGCACAATTAATATATACTATAAAAGAATTTCAGTTTGAATTAATTCTCTTATTTTCTGGTTTCGTTCAGGATAGAAACATAAATAAATAACAGTGCCTTGGTTTGCTTTCTGTTGCTGAGATACACACTATGACCAATGAGCATCTTGGGGAGACAAGTGTTTATTTCATCTTACAGGTTATAGTCCATAATCAGCTAAAGCTAAGACAGGAACAGGAGGCAGGAACTGAAGCAGAACCACAGAGGAATGCTGATTGTTTACTTGTTTGATTGTGCCTACTTCTGCTCAGCTTGCTCTTTACTCAACACATGACCACCTACCCAGGGGTGGTACTGCCTACAGTGGGTTGGGCATTCCTACACCAATCGCTAATCAAGAAAATGTTCCACAGACTTGCCCACAGCCAATGGGATGGAAGCAAATCCTCAATTAAGGTTCCCTTTTTTCAAGTGACTCTAGATTATGTCAAGTTAACAAAAATTAGCCAACACAGATTAGACAGACAGACAGACAGATAGATGATAGATAGATGGTAGATAATATAGCTATCACTTACCTAGGTGTAACATGTGTAACTATCATGAAGAAATAGTTACTTGAAACAAATAGCACCTGCCACAGACAGATACCAATTAAACCCTAAATTATATACAGCTTTCCACCACTATATTTCTTCCCTTTAACTCAAATGCAAGACTCTTAGAGCAAAATGAATGTGATAGTCAAATGCAATGTGCCCCTAGCATTGTGACTAGCCATTTTAAAAAAAAAAAAATAAAACTAATATATAACACCCTCATCACCATCAATGCTGACTTGTCACCACTTCCAACATCACCCACGTCCTGAGCATCTCATCTACCTCCCGTAACTCCGTTTGCTTTCTGGTACATTAATACTGATTTTAATTGTTCCATGGTATGTATCTGTATGTGCTGCACATTCACATAACATGTCTGCGTTTATATCTATGCGTTTGTATATAGACTAGAAACTTCCCAAAGTGTTTAAGGTAGGGGTTAAATTACAATTAAATAATACAGCGTATTGTATATTGACCAACAGCCTCACTAGGAAGCTCCATTGTGTTCTCCCAGCTGTCAAGCACAGCACTGTGAATGTCTGGCTCTTGGCTTTTATCCCAAGATAATCTGTTAGGTGTCTCTGTCAGTCCTTGCAGCTGGTGGCAGCTTCCTGTCAAGCGAGAAGGCTGGGAAGATGCATTTCTTCCTATGAGAGTTGTAGCTTAAATGAACTAGGACTTTTCCTCTTGAAATTTGGTACCAATGAGAGAGTCGATATAAATACCAAAGGACTGAAAATCGTCCCAGTTAAGGGTGGCTAAATCCTCTCAGGAAAAGGATTCCTCCTCACCTGCTAATGTGCCCACCTTCTACTCATCCCTCTGATTGTTCAAAACAAACAAAGCCCACGGCTTCCTTGCCAGTCCCCACCTGGTGACTTTGATGTGGTTGACTCATATGTACCCGTCACACAGGCATCTGATCCATCATTTTCTATTTTTGTAACTCAATTAAGTTCTGGCTAATTTCACATCAAATTAGTCCTTAAAGCAAACTCATTAAATGCCGATATAAAATATGTAGTATTTTATGGCTTTTGAATAATGGGGAAAATTTAAATTGTTCACCTAACTTTTCAGAAGTGAAGGTACTGTGAAAAGATTTTGAAAGAAAGGCAAGCAGCCATAAATACCTGTCTCTTTTCTCCACACAGTCTCTTTCACAGAAGAGCAAGGGGATGAGGACCGCCTCCCTTTCTTGCAGCTGTAGGTACCTCGGCTGGAGTGACAGACTTACAATTCTGCAAACAGCGAAGAAATGCTTTGCAAATGGTCAGTTTTGCTTCTTAAGACCCTTCAATTTTGCTATGAAGAGACGGTGGCAGAGAAGATGCCAGCGCATCATTGTTTTGCCATGCTCAGATCTCTTACTAAAATGTCAAGCTAAAACTCATGTACGCTTATTTAACCTAAATTGTTAACATCATGGATTACAGAGCATTCAGGAATCACCCAGTTTATGCTCTGGCTATGGATTTGCTGCTTTTCCTTGAAAAATCAATTAAGTGTTCTCTGTGTACTCTGGTTTATCCCTGACAGGCTGAAAATAAAACTGTTGAACAATCTTCCGGGTTGTTTTAAAAATCACTAGCGTTTCCAGTCATTTCTTTTGGAACTAGGAGAAAACAATCAATATCCCTCCCTCCCAGTCTCTCCCAAATCTGACTTCAACCACAGCTGTGTTCTAGGGAAATTGTAGGATTTATCTTCAAGGAAAAATGTTTTTTCACTTATGAAAATTCTATTAATGGGTCTTTCATTATAAAAAAACAAAAGGCCCTGGGCTAGTTTGGAGGGAAATTGGCAACATTAATAAACTACTCTGCAAATAGAAGATAACAGGGCTTTCATGATTCCGGGGATAGCGGTAGGTCTTGGAGGAAAAAGGTTTCTTCTGGTAGAACAGAGTTGAAACCATGCATGACAACCCATCCTCAAATTTCGGTCAAACCTTTAAAGGAAATCGGTTACCTAGAAGAATATTCTGTGTATTTTCCTATTGAGAATGAGGATTGGACTGTGGTTAAGTTTGGTGCAGGGCATAAGAAAGAGGCCAGAGAACTGAAACCTGCAAGGAGATGCTGTTGTCTTCGCTGATTGACTTAAGAGCAGGAGCTTGAGGTAACAGATCACATACAAGCTTCCTTTGCCAAACTTTCTGAAGCTCAGCAAAAATGTTCAAGTTTTCTTTCTTCATAGGAGGGCTTGGGGGAATGACAATATTAATAATAATAATAATTAGGGACTCAAGAATTTCCCACTAGGTTATCCTTCCTGACTTGTTTGGAAACAAGTCAACTTTTGGGTGACACCTGGAAACCACTGTTAGTTAACACAGGACTGAATATTATTCAGCCTTCAGAAGAAGGGACTCCTGGCACATGTTACGACATGGATGAATCTTGAGAACATTGTATTAACTAGACCTAGTTGCCAAAAAGAAGAAAATGCTCCATAATTCCTCTTACATTAAGTCTGGAATAGTCACATCCACAAAGGCAGAAGGCTAAGCTGTGGTGGAGGAAGAGGGAGTTGTTTAATGGGCACAGAACTCCAGCTTTGCAAGTTCTGTGACTAGACCATGGTGGCGGCCATGCATCCCCGCCAGGGCACAGAGTACCCCACTGTGGAAAATTCAGCATGATGGACGAAGTAAAATTTCTGTCATGAATATTTTTTTTAAAAATTTTATAAAAGTCCTGAAACAACATTCATTGAATGTTTAACATGTGACAGGTACTCCTCGGAGTTCTTTTCAAATATTATCTCATTGAAGGGCGAGGGAGATAACCCAGCTGGTAAAGGACACGCTGTGCAAGCATGAGGACCCGGTTTCAGATCCTCAGCACTCAGGTAAAAAGCAGGGTACAACAACACAAACCTGTAACCCCAATGCTGGAGGAGGGGTAATTGGTGGTTTGAACAATAATGGTCCCCCTAGGCTCATATGTTTGAATGCTTGGTCACCAGGGAATGGAAATGTTTGAAAAGATTACAAAGATTAGGATGTGTGGCCTAGTTGGAGGAAGCATGATTCTGGGGGTTGGCTTGGAGGTCTCAAAAGCTCATGCCAGGTCCAGTATTTCTGCCTGGGGAAGAGGATGTAGCTCTCAGCTACTACTCTAGTGCCTGCTTGCATGTTACCATACTCTTCACCATGGTGACAATGGACTAAACCTCTGAAGCTGAGAGCAGGCCTCCAATTATATTCTTTCTAAGAGTTGCCTTGGTCTTGGTGCCTCTTCACAGCAACAGAACAATGACTGAGACAGAAGTTGGTACCAGGAGTGGGGTTTTGCTGTGACAGGTCCAACCATGCTTCTTGGTGGTGGAATGTTGATTTTGGGACTTTGGATTAGGAAAGCAGTTGAATGCTTAAGTGAGGCTTAGTGGGCCATGCTAGTAGGAGTATGGAAGATAATGGGGCTGACAGCAGTGTAAATTATGACTGCCTGGCCCAAGAAGTTTCGGAGGGAAAGAATATTAGTAACAGGCTTAGAGACCATTCTTGTGACTTTTCGGCAAAGAACCTGGCTGCTTTTTTGCTCTTGTCCTAAAAATCTGCCTGGGGCTAAATTAAATAGTTTCAAATTAATGGTGTTGGCAGAGAGTTCAAGACAGCCCAGTATTGACAGTGTTATGTGGTTATTAGTTTTCATCCTTACGCAGATCTATAATAAAAAGGAGCAAGCTGGACAAAAAGAAATAAAAAGATGTACAGTTTGAAGAGAAAAAGAGCACCAGGAAATGTAATGTTGGAGCTAAGTCCTGCACTCAGAGAAATAAAAAGTTTAAAGAAAGCCTGATCCAGCTTTTGGGAATCCAGTGCCTTTGGTGTGATGCCTCGCGCAGCCTTGGTGCAGTGGGAAGGGGCTTGGACCTGCCTAGGCTCAGTGTGCTGGGCTCTGCTGACTCCTCATGGGAGACCTTGATTTGGGGGATGTGGGGATGAAGGGTGGCTTGGGAGAGAGGGCTAGTGGGGTGGGAGGAGGGAGGAGGGAGGAGGGAGGATCTATGGGTGGTATATAGAGTGAGTAGAAAATTTCTTAATAAAGAAAAATGAAAAAAAAAAAAAGAAAGAAAAGAAAGCCTGATCCTAAATGGAATAAAGGGAGTGGTGACCTCAGGACAAGACCCCACCCAGGTAAACTTCCAACCTGTGAAAAAGAATTAAAGAAAAGCTTAAGCAGTGAAGGAAACCACCAATAACAGAAAGCTGTACCAGGCTTTTTCTTTGGGGCCACCAATCAGCTCCCAAATCATGACACAGGAACTTATTGTTAGTTTTGAATGCTTGACCTAGTTTAGGCTCATTTCTGATGCGCTCTTTTTAACTTAAATGTACCTGTTTCTCTTTATCTACCTTTTGCTTAGGGGGCTTTTACTTTTCTTTCCTTCTGTACATCTGACTTTCACTGCTTCTCATGTCTGTCTGTCTGGTAGCTGCCTAGCTTCTTGCCCCTGGCCTGTCCCACTCTTTCTCCTCATTTTTTTCTCCTCTTTGGAGCCTAGATTTCTCCTGCCATTTATTCTCTCTGCCTGCCAGCCCCCCCTATCCCTGTCATGCCTACCTATTGACCATTTAGCTTTTTATTAGACCAGTCAGGTGCCTTAGGCAGGCAAGGTGAAACAAATGCAACACATCTTTACATCATTAAGCACACATCCTTACATCATTAAACCAATGCAACAGAAACAAATGTAACACATCTTTACACAGTTAACGTAACATTCCTCAGCCTAAACAAAAGTAAGACATCTTTGCCCAGTTAACATAATATTTCACATTAGAAAGCTGATGCAAATGTATTTGAAAGAGAGGGTCAAGTTCCAGCTCAATCAAGCAGCAGACTTTGGCAGCTTCAGCCACAGGATTCTGGCTGTAGAGTCAAGGATACAAGAAAGGGGTTGCCTGTGCTGACTTGCAGAGACATGAGGAGGGGACAGGATGTAGCCCACCGCTGTGACCCAAAGCATTTTGTCAGGAGAAGGTCCAGGCTATGCATGCTTTCATGTGGGGGGGACAGAGTCAAAGTGGAGGGCGTGGGGGGATGGGCCCACAGAGTGGACAGGCTGGGGAACAATGGCCTCTCTCTACTCTCACCATCTATTTGATGAGTATATTTTCTGCCTTTTTCTTGCCTTTCTAAATGCAAGCTGTCAGACTAATGCAGACTGTTCTTCCAAGCTTCTTCCAGCTGTCATGGTACTCAGTGCAAACAACAACAACATATATTTATTTTCTGCTGTTTACAAACTGTACTATTTGGCAGGAAAACAAATTAAGACTCCTAGGCAAAGAGGTGTTGTCTGATGTCTGAACAAGAATGTTCCCTTGTTCAGATTTACTCATTCTACGACAACAAATGACCTTGAAAGATCTTACTGTGGCCAGTTGTGAACTCTTCCCTCCTCTACCAGGAAAAGCCCTGAGGCCAGGAGAGTGTCAGGGGTGTCCCTGCATGGAGGCCTAGAGAGGCCTTTGTGTGAAGCTGTGAAAGTGAAGCCTGGATTGCGTTGGAGACCTCAAGATGTTGGAGATGCCAGAGTTGTGGGATACCTGCCTAGGAAAGCTGCTAACAGGGATTGGAACCAGCCCAAGGAATAAATGTATTGCAGTCAACAAAGATGAAAGGAGTTGGAGATCTGAAGAGCATTTTGACATCAGATGTAGAGATGCAGAGTTTGGAGTTTACCCAGCTGGTTTTCAGTCTGGCTTTGGTCCAATATTTCCTCACTATCCTCCCTTTTGGAAAGGTAATGTATATTCATTGCCATTGTATGGTGAAGTGTGTGATCTGCCTTTTGATTTTACAGGGGATTATAGTTAAGAGATTGCTACGAGTCTCCCAAGAGATTTTGGACTTTTAAACATTGTTGAGACTGTGGTAGATTATGGAGACTTCTGAAGTTGGACTAAATGCATTTAGCATTATGATGTGGCTACGAGCCTATGAGGGCAAGGGAATACAATACAGTGGTTTGGATAAGAACAGGCTCCACAAGCTCATATATTTGAATGCTTGGTCTTTGAGGAGTGGTGCTACTTGACAGGGATAAGGAGGTGTGGCCTTGTTGGAGGAAGTGTGTCATTAGGGCTGAATCTTTGGGGTTTCAAA